CAGGATTGCAATGCAATGCTGATCCAAAGTATGTAAATTGTCTAGCTAACCATCTATCATACTCACGAACCTGCCCTAAATGGAAGGAAGAGAAAGAAATAAAGTTATAAAAAAAATTCCTATCTTGAAGCTAAGGAAGTGTTTAGGACTTGTCAACCAATAACAAATGTTTCGATGCTGAAGCCATCAAATCGTATTGGTCAATAAGTACCCAAATATCTCATGGCATACAGAAAAAACATTTAAACCAGAAATAACTGACAGTGAAAAATTTTTAAATTGTTCTCCTCTCAAACAGACAATAAAAAGCTCAGAACTAAAAGGACGAAGAATGAACAGCTCAAAAAAGAAAATTAAAATCTCCAAGAAAAGCCTAGGCCTAAGCTTTGTCGATGGTTAACACGATGACTGCCCAACACAAGATAACTCATATTAGCGTGGTACTTGTCGCTGACCTCCCATTTTTCCAGCGCCCTGGGGAACAAGGAAGTCTGAACGCAACCTGATGTGATGCTGCAGTCCTTGAACAACGTTCTTTTTCGAATGGATGTTCGCCTTCAGAACTGTCAGCCAGTCCAATATACGATTATGGTGTGCTGCATTTGACTCCATTTTCGTGCAGGCTGGCTGTGTAGGTCTTTTTGTGGTTAAAACTATCATTTCATGCAAAAACAAGCAATTTTTCTAGCTGTCTTTTCTCGGTCATCGGGATATATAATTGTTTTATAGATAAACAAAACAACAACAACAAAAAAAAAAAAAAAAAAAAAAAAAAAAAAGAAACTGACATAATTGTTTGGGCTGAAATATTCAAGCTAAAGGGAGAAGGAAAACAAAAATACCTAATGTCGACAAAACTAATTCAGTTTATTAAATTCTAAGTTCTTCAACACAACAAACTATCTGTTAAAAGACTCTCAACAATGCATTGGAGTGCTCATTATGCTGGAGTAAAAGTATTGGAAGAAAATTTTGATGGGGTTGTTTCTGCGATTGAGGAATTATGTGATCAGCAAGAAAATTTAGACACCAGAGGTGCTGTGTAGAACCTTATGTCTGCTGTGTGTGATTTCATATTTCTTTGCTATCTTTTCTTTTGGAAAGATGTATTAAGAGAAGTTAATTTTACTCAGATTGCACTGCAAAGTAAAGGCTTGGATGTTGATCAAGCTCTTCTCCTTTATATTGAAGAAAAACAGAGTCAAATTTTAGAAGAAGCTATAGATCTTGCTGTGAAAAAATCAGAAACATATAACATTCCAATAGAAAGATGAATTCGTCATAAAAAACATGTAGCTGATGAATTGGCCACTGATGCAGGACTCTCACTGAGAGCTGAACTTCAAAAGGATATGTTGGACTGTCTTGACCAAACCAGTACTGAACTCCAAAGTAGGTCGAAGTCCGTTCAAGATATAGTTTCATTGTTCGAGATGTGCGGACAAACACTATGCTTTTGGCAAACATTGAAGAGTTGAAATAAGCTGTGTCAAAATTTACTGATTTTTATGATAAGGTTTTAGAAACAGAACTTCATTTGACTTAGACTTGCATATCAGATATTGGCAGTCTGACCAAAGTAAAGTTGCAACTCAATTTTTGACATCTGTTTTCATGGGACATGCAACAGTTGCTAATATTTTTGAAAGTTTTCAAATGGCAGTTAAAAAGCCAGATATAAAAAAACTACTACAAATAAGTATGGATGTGGCAGCCATAAATTGTAAGTTTTATGAAGCTCTCCAAAAATGAACTGAAAAAGGAATATAGTATTGAATATGTATTTGCTGGTAGTTGCAGCTTGCATATTTTGAACAGTGCTTTCCGTAAAGGAGCATACATTACAGACTAGCATATGCCCTCCATTTTAGGAGCACTGTACCATTTATTCAGAAATTATCCAGCACGTCAAGCAGATTTTTTTAACAGCGAATGTCCATAAGACTTTGCCATTGAAATTTTATAACCATATGTAGTTAGAAAATGCACCAGTTTGTTTGCATACTTTTGAGATTTGGGAAGATATAAAATGTTGTGTCAGGCTAGTTGAGAATGGAAAATATATAAAAATAACTTGCAAATCATATGAAATAATAAGAATTGCAATTAAAGACAAGTTAATGCCTGTAAAGTTTGTGTGGCTGAATTGGTTAAACACTTTTTGAAACTGTATTCAAAGTAATGAACCTTTTTTTTTTTTTTTTATTCAAAATTATAAAAGAAGAGTACATACTAAATATCAGTTCATCACTGAAATATTTTTATAACTTTTAGTTTTCTGAGAAAGATATTGTTACTGAAATAAGCAAAGTTAATTTAGGATTTAGGGCTGATAAGCTCTTGCAAGAACTATGCACTAAAAAAGAAATCATGGCTAAAGATTACCTTTCTCTTAAACGGAACTCACAAACTTTTATTTTACAACTACTTGAAAAGCTGATGGAGAAATGTCCAGTTAATTAATGAATAATTTGAAATGCTGTTTCTATGAATCCAAAGTGCATGGTGCAAAACAGCACAAAATCATGCAGGAAAATGAAAAGTATATTGGTGCATTTTTTTCAAAAAGATCACATTGCAGAAGAAGAAGAATATTCTGATTTCGTTGAAAATGTTCTCCAGCCATACCTTACAGAATTTAAAACCTATGATGTGGAAAAAAAAAAAAAAAAAAAAAAAAAAAGATTAGATATTTTTTGCATACATTCATTAATGAAAAATCATTCAATTTATGAGAAACATTTTAAATGATTTTTATTCTTTTGTATGGGCAAGCCTTTGTTGAACGATGATATAGTATCAATAAAAATATAGAAAAAGAAAGTATGGGGGGGGCAATTCTAGTGCATAGTTTGTAATTATGTGAAACATGCTGGTAGGATCTACAATGTATCAATTGCAAAAGAGATGAGTGTGGCAGCTTCATCGGCTCATTCATAGTATTAGTATACTTGGAAGAGCAGGAAAAAAAAGAAAAGCAGAATCAATAGATGAATTGATTTCTCTTAAAGAAAAAAAAAGTTAGAGAAATAAAAGTGCTTGAAAATAAAGCAAATGAAACTTGCTGAAATGCAAAAAAAAAAAAAAAAAACTATTTGTGGAATAACAAACTTGGTCAAGAGAACTGGATTCAAGCATTAAAGAAAAGAGGCGAAAGAAAAATCAGATATAAAATTTTTTTTATTCGTTAATAAGCATAAATCTTTTTTCTTGTTTCTTTTTTATACTGTAAAGTACTTTGTATAAATATAATAAATATGGTTTATTATTATTTATTTTTTGCATTTTTAAGTCAGATTTTGTCATTTACCATTGTAACTAAAATTTCATCATTAAATCTTGTAATGTAGTTCAGTTTTATACCATCCCCCCTCACTGTTAACTAGCTCTGTAAATTGAACTGTTATTTAAAATAAAATTTAAAAAAAAATATAATTGTTTTCTGTGGTTGAGTAATGGCTAATTCTCTCATAATAAATGCTGAATTTCTCATATTTTAAATTGCAAATCTCATTTTGCTTCTAAGATTATGCAGTTATGTATATATGTAATTAAGCAGCTGCTCATTTTTTTCTTAAAATGGGCTTAGAAAGGGCTAATAGGTGCATATTTTTTAAATTACAATGTGGCTACTAACCTTGTCTAAGTGTAATTGTTCAATCGTTCTTTTCATAATTGCATATTTTTAATTCTTTGCCAAAATGACAATTCGATGCCATTCTCTGTCGATTTATTCCATATCAGTATCAAGGTCAGGTTTCCGGAGGTTTCTTCAGAAATTCTGGTACACCTTATGATATTTTAGGAGTTGCTAGAGCTAGCATTCTCTTGACAATAAATCAGCAGAGTTTAAGATGCCTTGTGTATGTTTCCAACATGCTGCTTTGTTGTAGAATCTCTTTAACTCTGTTTTCTACAAAAACAGATATATTATTTAATTTTTTTAATTATACCAAAACCACTGAAGAATCTGACCAGAAATAAGTTTCATATTTGTACTGTTCAAAATTTTAACAGCTAGCTGATATAAACCAGCAACAATTCTAACCACCATAACGTCCCAGCAGTAAAGTCACTGAACACTGGTAGTTCGGTTCGAGTTTCGAATCCCGCAAACGGGCTGGCTGCATGGGCGGTTTTGTGGTTTTCTCCATGTGTAACGTATATAACGTATATCGAAAAAACATTTTTCATTTTCTTCTGTTCTCAAAAATACGTTGTCACCATATGCTAATTTTGCATCACAGAAGATGTGTAAGAAGCATGTAGAATTAATGACAATTCTTCAGGCTTTAATTTCCAAGTTTTCTGCAAAATAATCTTTCTAATAAGATGGGATGTTGAGGAAACTTCTATAGGATAAAAAATTTTCTGAATGCTTGAAAGTAAGATTCGTCGTGTGGAAGCTTCAGTTCAAGATGCTACTCGCCATTTAAGTTCATCTCATGAATGGTGACACTGAAGTCCTAATACATTTTCTCATGTAAATCCAAACTATTTTCCAATGTCTAAGGTTGAAACCAGCTGAAGACATCAGTTCTGTAGCTTCATCAATGTGTGATTCTTTTTCTTCCTTTTCAAAGACTCCAGTAAGATAGTTATAAATGTCTTAACATTTCCATAAAGATTGAAAAAATTACATTTATTTTAGTATGGCATGCTTAAATAAAGTGAACTTAAATGAAATAAGTATGTATGTTTCTTTATTTTTATCATTCATGAAAACTTTTCAGTTATCCATGTTTTAACATAATAATTTCCATTTCTATTTTAATTTCCATAAAAATTGAAAAAATTACATTTATTTTAGTATGGCATGTTTAATTAAAATAAATTTGGGGTTAAAATGAGACAAGTATGTATGTTTCTTTATTTTTATCATTCATGAAGACATTTTTGTTATGAATTGTTTGCATTAGATATATATAAAAATACATTTTATTAATTAATTTATTTTTTACAACCATATGTGGAAAAAAAAATACTCTTATTTCTCCTAGGACCTCTTGTGTTCTCCTCAGGACATCCTTGGTGAACAAGGTGGACTTGTACGCATTGCTATCACTGTTCAAGAACTCGTAACTCGTTGCATCAAGGCTTAGTAACTGTAATGATTTAAAACTTTTGACACTAGTCTCATCTAGAATTGGAGGATAGATATTTATCCATCATTTTGATATTTTTTTTAAACAGAGATGAGAAATTTTGTATCGTGTTTTGGGCATGTTTGTGTGAAAGAGATAGAGTGAACAGATGCAAACTGACTGCTCATCTAGGTCTAGCATATGGTAATTCATTAATCTTTCTACCGATATACTTAGGAAAGATTCTTTTAATACATTAGCTGATGAATCTGAACAGTTCTAAAACTTATCTAGTCATAATGCATTTCTTCTGAATGAATGTAGATTCTTAGTATATTCCCCTCTTTGTACAAAACATTTAAAATTATATTCTGTCAGAATCATGTAAATTACATTTTAATTTAAAATACCTGCACATTTTTATTACAGCACTATTTACATTTGAAATTATATTCGTCAAGGGTAATAATGGCATATTATTTTGCCTCTATTATTTGCAAATATCTTTGCAGTCATTGAAATTATTTATAAATGTATTAAAAGATTACAAGAAAGGTATTATGATGTTTAATATGTTTGCATGACGATATTCTATGAGTGAATTTTTTTTATTAATAATGTATTGAATATGCGTGTATATATTATTTTAATGCACAATCAGTTTCATTCTCATCTCACTATTATCTAATGATGTAAAATTTTTTTTATTGTAATTATTTTTCAATGCATCATACTGTTTTATAAAAAGGAAGTGAAACAAGTGCTTAACATCTGTTTAATTTTCATCATGTACTTACTAACTGCATTTCAACAAATGTGGGTAAATTTTATTAGAAAATTTTGTTTTGTGTTGTAAGAATCGATTCTTATTTTTTTAAATTATGATATGTACTTAGAAAATCAGCCTGGAAAAGAGGAGGAACTTCTTCATTGCAGTGAATTAATTTTACCTCCTCTGACCAATCTCTTTTGAAATGAATTTAGAAAAATTCTGTACTTAAATGAACTAACAACATGCTTTGTTTTTGATAACATAAGCATATTTATGTTGAATCTAGAATAATTTTAAACAATTTTTATTACTGTATATTAAAAAGTGTTATGAGAAATTCTTTTTAAGGAGTTTCTAATTTTTCTGTGATGTAATTGCTATATTAGAGTATTGTTTAATATATTTATAAATTGCTTATGAAAAACTAAAATTCATTCTTAAATTTCTTTTTGGACTCAAAATTTCATTAAAATTTGACTTTTTGGTAATAATGTTTGAAAATTAAATTGTGATAAATTATGTTAAGTTTTGCCCTTTTACACACAAAGAGGTCCAAAAGAATTTATTTATTTAATACGAATGACTAATTTTCTCATAAACAATTAATTATAGACTATGATTCCAATTTAAGAAATGAATCATGTTAAGTAACCTTTAAATATAATAAACCAAATATTTAGGAAGCTATTCAAAACTTAATATTTACATAGGCCCCATTTGGAAAAATATAGAGAAAATGTACACTATATATATATAGTGTATGTATTAAAAAGCTTATTGCCATTTTTAGAAATGCTAAAATTTGAAATTCGTGCACTTAATGAAGTTTAATTTTTATATGACCTCTAATCACTTTTCTATTTAAGTCGAAGTGCTGTAAATCATACAATTCGGGCAATGCTTTTTGGGCTGTTATTCAATGTTATGAATTTCTTTTTTTCCCTCCCCCTGTAAGGTTTTTAATGGAATAAGAAATAGTTTAATACATATATCTTTATATAAACAGCCCGTATAAAAATGAAAATTTCATGCTTTTTTTTGGGCGGGGTCTGTTATGCGATTAGAACTTGATTTAATTCATTTCTTAAATTGGAACCACAAATTTGCACTGAACTGTGGAGATATTTTGTTGTGCGGTTTTCTCAAAACGATGAAAACTATTTTTGTATATTTGTTTTAAACTATCGTATTCTCAAAACGATGAAACTATTTTTGACTTGTTTCGTAGTAAATAGTAGTAATATGAATTTGTGAATTTTTTTTCCATTTAAATTTTGTTCAGCAGTCTTCAGCATCTTAATTCAAAAACTGATCATTATAAAATTATTTGGCAGTCTTAAAGAAGTGAAAATTCTAAATTTAGTACAATTATATTTCAAGCTGTTAATCATATTATTTTTCATCTGGGATAGTAGTAAATGTGAGTTTGTGAATTTTTTTTTAATATATTTTGTGCAGCCATCTTTAGCATCGTAATTGAAAAATAGATCATTATAAAATTATTTGGCAGTCTTAAAGAAGGATAAATTCTAAATTTAGTACAATTATATTTCATTGACATATTTCAAGCTGTCAATCATATTATTTGGAAAACACTAAGCATGCAAGTAACTATCGTATTCTCCCATGCATGGTGTCATGGTATAAGTGGGTAGTACATCCAGCTAATAATTGTAAGATCTGTAATTCAAATCCTAGTGAGGGCACAGCTTATTTCTTAAGTTGCATTTCTTACATAAAAATTCTTAATAATCTTAACACATATTTTGGGTCTTTTTTTATTTAATTTTATTAAAACTTATGATTTTTAAATATGTTTAAGAAAGTAGCAGAATTTCATATGAGTAGAATTCCAAATATGAAGACCAAGACTGCTGTCTGTGCGAATAAGTATTATGTCTTTTTCTCTAGATTATGGTAATACTGATAAAATTTCAGTTTCTTAGGTATTGTATATTGTTTTAACAAAAATTATGTAATTATGAAGAAAAAGGGAAACTCTGAAACTGGTTTCTAAACATAATTTTTCCCCTTCAAAATTAAAGAATGAAACTATTTTTGTATGTCTAAACACACAACTACTTCTATTTCAATTTAAATAAAGCTTAAATTAGTTTTTATTTACTATGACTTCAAACTAAAGATATGATATTGCTTTAGTGAAAATGTGTTGGAATTACATAGAAGAATTTTTAATTTGCGTAATGAACTAAAGGACTGCTGCTGTTACACATAGTATGAAAAAGAGATGCATGGAGAGGCATTTCATATTTATAATCTCTTTCGCTTATCATTTGTTTACTTATTTATTATTTTATTTTATTTTAGACATTTCTGGGAAGGCATCTACAAAATCTTTGGATTGTAACATTATTTTACCATGCATAAATCGTGTACTTGCTTTGGCAAATGTTGTTACTGCTCAAAACATAATCCATTCTACACTAGTGACCTTCAACTCATATGTCATCTGTGACTTAGCCTTTGATGATTATTGATTTGGCTTGATTAAATTATCTTGTAGCAATCTATCTACTTATAGCATATAATTGCTTTTCTGTTAATGTTTATAGGCAATATATTTGCCAGATATTTGAGCTGATTTGTATGTCGTATACATTCATCTAAATTATTAGACTATCTTCTTAAAATATATGAGGTTTATTAATTATTTAATGATCTGTTTGTTGCATTTTTATATTATTTATTGAGAAACTTAAAAGTGTGTAAACAGCAACAAACCTAATTTATTGGCCAGAAAGAAAAATTAAGGGTCTAGATAACTGGAATTCTGCTGGATTTGAAACTTGGTGCCAGTGAAGCATACTTCCGTTGAACCTGCATTAAATAAATATTGGGATTTTCTTTTCATTTCTCTAGCTCCAAAATACTACTATAATATTTCTCAGCTGTTTGTAACTCTTGGCTCTAAATTAAAATACTGTAAAATCATTTAAAGATGACCTAATTGTTGTAATTTCATAAATGAAAAGATATGATCGTAAGTCTTCCAAACTGTTCCTTTACCACAAGATTTTTTTTGTCATTGAATTCTCATTTTCAGTTAAGGGCTTCTTCTTTTTCTGGTTACTTGAGAGACATTTTCATTTGTAACATGCTAAACTGTTATGCAATGAGTCTTTTCTTATTCTGCGACAAGAACTTTGAGATTTTAAGAGGTGAATAATGTAAATATGTACTTTTCAGTTTGCATGTGAATTAAATTGTATCACAAACTGTATTAACATCAGTATTTTCATTTTCAATATATGTAAAATATGAAAGTTTTTATTTTATTATTATTTCTTGAAATATGCTTTGCTGTTCAAAAGAGCTTCATGTAATATTCTTCGTAAATACAAGAATGTTACTAATTTTCATTTTTTACAAGTTTTTTTTTCCCCATTATTTATACCAGTGCTGTTTTAAAAAGTATCAATCATCACACATCATTTAAAATATATGTATTATTTTTGCCTTTTTATGTTTGTTTTTTGTTAGTACATGTGGCTGATCATACAAATAAATTATTGTTTTGTAACTTGAAAATAATGAAAAGAGAGAGCGTGGTGTAAAATATGTTTTTGTGTAATTCTATATTTTGTTTTTATGTGTGGAAACTAGAGGATATGTACAATTATGTACTAAAGCATATTGTTTTGCTGAAAAAAAAATTTAAATAAGAAATTTGAGAGAGATGGCTACAGGATTTATTTTATAATCCTCTGAGCTGTAAAGGTTTGGAGATCTATTTAATAAAGAGTGGTATTTAAACAGCTTTTATTGAGCAATATCTAAATCATTAGCCTACAAAATGATCAGGAAAATAATCTAAAAATTGATGTGAAACAGATTTTATGATTTATCTCATTACATAAAAATATATTTTGTTTTTTTAGTCTTTTGCAGTACTGAAAAAATATTACATTAGCTCAATCATTTGCACAAAAGTATTTTTGTGTGTATTGTAGAGTCATGAGGTAATGTTTGGGAAGCAGGAAAGATGAAAAATTAGCAACACCTTCACCGGGAATCAACTGCAGACCTCTGAAATACACGCCTAGCGTGCAGACCACCACTCCATGAAGGCATGCTAGGAAGGCAGAAGAAATACCTTATATACTCCCCCTTTTATAGGGCGACTGGGGATTTTATGGGACCCAATCGCCAAATCCTGGGTGTGGAGAATCATCATCCACCACCCTTTTAGTTCCGGTGCCACCGTGGACCTCTGGAATACGCGCCCAGCGTACAGACCACCATACCATGAAGACATGCTAGAAAGGTGGGAGATAAAATTTGGAAAACAATTCATGTGTATTGGAAACTTAATATTTCCTTGTACAGGGTGTTCGGGATAAATTTGACAGTTTCGTAAGGAAAAAGAAAATTCGCTTTGTATCTATTAAATTTAATGAATTGACAAAAAAAAAAATTACAAGCAGAGTATACTATCAACAAGATTCAAACAAGATCAAAATACTATCAACAAGATTCACTCAAAATAACCACCATTAGCATCAATCACAGCTTCAATCCTGCTTCGAAACCTCAAACAAGCTGATGCTACAGTCTCCCTGGGAAGGGCCTCAAAAACTGTTTTAATTTTATCCATTAACTGGGCTTTTGTATTACTGGAAGTGTGTTTGGTGTCTTTTTCAACAGTGCCCCATACAAAATAATCCATGGGTTTAAGGTCTGGGGACTTTGGAGGCCAAACATTTGGACTGGTGAAGTCTTAGAAATTTTCAGACAACCATTTTTGACTTTTGGTGGTGGCTACATCCTCGTAGTAACCATTGCAAGTCTCTAGTTCATGCCTGATTGTTTTTACTGTGTTCAGGGTGCACTGGGCAGCAGTTCTAATATCCTTATTTTGATGGCTGGCACGAATCATCATGATGCAAGTTATTCTCTTCCGTGATTCAGGTGGGTTCCAGTCATCCATCCTTTCTTACATCTTGTATATGAATGAAGAATGGTCCAGAATTTTAAATGACGAGTAGTGTGTGTCAATACCCCTAACCTACGGAAAAATATAGTCAATTATAAATATGTCAAATTTATCCCGAACGCCCTGTATGTTGTTCTTATCTGACTGCAGTAATGTCTAGATCTTTTCTGTAGATTTTTCAGTGCATTCTCAATCACATAGAATTTAATTTATTAGGTTTAATAGTATTCAGAGGTAACATATTATTTTCATATTTTTTCTGCAATGTAAATTTCTCTTTTTGGAGTTACTGTATGATTTCAGAAGTAATAAGATGGTAGTTATCCGAAATTTTGTAATATGCTGATTTTGGAATAAATTGCTAATCTGATTAGATTTCATGTATTTACATTTCCCGCATGAATAAAATTTACAGGTAATGGTTGTCAGCATATCTTTCTTTTAGTTTCCATCCTGAGAGTGCAATTTTTTAAAAAATCAAGGTGCTCTGATTCATATTGTAATTTGCTCTCATTAGCAATTGTGGAATTGTAGGAATATTTTGCTCTTCAGTAATGTTTTTGAAGAGATGCTAAAATATAAACCTGAAGTCTTCAAGAGAGAAAATTCTTTTGTTTTGGTGAACATGCTATTATACTCTTCAGATCCACATTTTCAACAAAATTGTCACTGAAAATGTTTAGAAATATTTCAGTTTGCTGGAAAATTGTCCTTTTTTGAGGAGGGGGGTGCTCAGTAAACAATTCTTTGTATATTCTGTAGCAGTGGTTTGTTTGAATACATGAAAGCCTTCAAGGACTATTTCTATTAAGGAAGAAATATTTCTGTGGAAAGGAGAGAGGAGAACTGGCTCATATTGACTCAAGCACTAGTGGCCTGTATGTTTATGAATAATGGCAACTCTCCTTGTTTTTCATTAGATCACCTGGTCTCCTGGTAGACCATCAAATCTTGTGGTTTTTAATTTTCATCCAGAGGGAATGTAAAGGGAGGGTATTTTAATTAATGAGACTGAAACTGTGCAATGTAATTTTTGCACAATTTTTCTCATTAAATTTTGATTTAAATTATTTTTCATAGACATTTGTGGAACTTTTCATAAAGACTCAAGTAATGTTTAATCAGTTAATATTTTAGTTTGTTTTACATCAATATGTGTGTATTACTAAGGTTATCCACATAATACTATACATATTGATTATGAATTTAATTTTCATCGTATTTAAAGGTATTTTGATAAACTTTCCTTCCTTCATCAGGATTTTCTCAGTGTAAAAGTGAAAGAAAATTACAAGATGAAATTAGCCGAAGAATAATTAGAATATCTAATTAAATATTGTTACGTGCGTATGGGTTCGTTATGAATTGAATTCACAAGTCTGATGAAAAATGAAAAAAATTTATTATTATCACTACAAATAAAAAAAAAAAAAAATGCTTAAAATGCCTCAGATATTCATGCAATATTTCAAAATTTCACAGTAGTTATCTTTTAAACTACTAAAAATGTTCAACAGAAATTATTCAAAACAGTGAAACAGAGAAAGCTAATCCGATTTTCGCCACGAATTCGCTACAGTAAGCAATAGCAGTTTTCTAAACAAAACTCATAAAACAACTAACTCATAGTAAAGAAATGAGAGGTTTTCTTCCTTTTATAAGCTTTTTAAATCATGCGCGAGCATATTCTGGTATTTTCTCGAAAAGCAAAAGCATACAATTACGATATATATATATTTATTAAATGCGCATGTTCCTCTAAATTTTTCCGGCATAGCTTTCTTTTCAGATAAGTCGTGTGCAGCATTGTGTGGGGAAATGAAACAATTTAATAACAATTCTGTTAAAAATAGCAAACTAAATAAATCAGGACAAAAACCATAACAATATTAATATATTTTGCATGTGAATCATACTGTAAGTAATTTAATTACCTAATTTGCCTAAGTTATTTAGAATATCTAATTAAATGTTAATATATTTTATATCCGAATCATGAGTAATTTAATTACTCGAGTATGCATTATAAAGTCAGTTTAGAATTCTTCTAAAATGCTATCATATGCAGGTTTTCTGACACTTAAGAAACTTTTGAAATATCTGATTTTACCTTCCTTCTGTTATTTATGTTCTGGCTCGTGGTAACCTTATCTATAGCTGATATGTTCTGTTTTTTGAAATCCGGGTTTTTCGTTGCCATCTTCCTGCGATGTCCCTCTTGAGAACAACAACTAAGACTCATTCATGAGAGGTGCCCCTGGAGGTTTATGAGGTAATTTAGCCGAATGCTTCACACAGGCTCAGTCACCGCCAGGTATTGGCTTAATATCTGTCAGATATTGTAATATTAATATTCTTATTGGAATTTAGGTTTCATTTAAAGAAATAATATGATAGTTATAAATAGTTTATCCGTGACTATTTTTCATTTGTTATGTTCTTACTGCAACAGATATTAAATTCCTCACATAATTTTCCGTCTTGATATTCGAACAATGAAATTAGTTTAAAAAAGGGGCAAAATATGCAAGGAAATGTAGCATATATTAGAAGTAGGCACCAAAAAGTATAATTCATTGAATTTATTTTAAAATATGTTGCATCTAAAGATTTTTTTCCCCTTTAAGAACTGTAATTTATGACATTGATTATACTTTTAAAAAAAGTGTCTTTAAAAAAAAAAATTTTTTTTAAAGTGTCTTTAAAAAAGTCTTTAAAGTGTAATGAATGTCTTACTTAGTGTTACTTACTGTAGCCATCTTCTTTAAAAAATGTGTAGAATGTTTGTCTTACTAGAATATGCATCGTTAAATTTAGAATTCATATATGTACTCAAAATATGATTATTTGTGAAATTTTCTCA